AGCCATATGATGCGATGCGATGGAGCGCGCTGCGAGTTCAGTGACGACGCCTGCGACGACCGGAGTAGGCCAACCCGCCAGGCACGCGTGCGGAGTGGGCGGCCTGCATTGATTCGCAGGGGCTCGGCAGCGCATTTCGTTAGCGAGGCCAGGCCAGGGAGAAAATGACTTTGAGGTGTTTGCGGGCGCGGCTGGGCGCAGTCTCCCCCCCCCCTCCACCAACCCAATTTCCTCCAGCTGGCGAATTTTCGCGAAAGTTACGTATTATTTCAACAGACAGCACTCACGTCACCACTGCTCGCTCGCGCCCCCGAAGAAGAAGAACGCCACGCGCGACAAGGCATCTGTCAGCCGAACGGTGCTGTGCATGGCGGGGTGCCAGAGGATGTAAAGGGGGGGGGGGGCAGCAACTGCAAGCTGGAGGACAAGGAGGAGGACGGGCCGCCGGCCGGGCGGCGCGGGCAGACGGGAGTCGCGTAGTCGTGTATATGCAGCCCTGAGGAGGAAGTGTCTGCATTGAAGGTGCGCGTGGTGCAAGCGGGTACGGTTGTGTTTGGAGAACGTGCTGCTTGCTGCGTCAACGCCGAGGTCCAGGACCAGCTGTCACCTTGAATCCACCGCAGTGCCCGTTCAGCGATTCAGGGTCAGGCAACTCGCGTCAGGTCCGACGTCGACACCGCGACAGACTGGCACAGAGCACTCTTTTGGAGGTCGCCAACTGATCTCGTTCCAGAAAGCCGACCCGTCCCTTCCGACCTTTGTTGGGCACGACCGCGCGCCCATGACCTCGGCCCGGCGCTGCAGCTGAAGTTTTGGAGCCTGCTCACTCTAGACTGAACGAAATAACAAGGCGAGCACACTTGTAATTTATTCTCGTTTTCAAAAGACCACTCGCATGCTCCGCCCCGACGCACATCACCCGGCAGTGAGGAAGCTTGAGCTGGGCACGGGTGGGTGCAGGCGCCCCGTGTCACACGCCGGTGGAACCCGGCGGCGCACCTCAGCGCCATGGGGGCAGCACCATCGCCACGGACACTCGTCGGGGCCTACGCCCTGGCCCGCTGGGTCCGCCCCCGGGTCCGGCAAACCCACG